ATTCCAACATCTAAAGCTTCTAAATAAGCCCCCATGTAGATTTTCTAATAAAGAAAATCATCTCCCTCAAACATAGGAGGAGGTCCATCCCCATGGGACATCTTTCTCTATGCGGTTAAGCCTAATTTAACGAGCACGAGGCTCTGATACCAATTGAAAGGATCAAGATGCCCAAGAGGGGGGTGAATTGGTCTAATTCTAAATTCTTTGCAATAATTAAGCCCTACACTTAGCCCACTTCACCGCTTGTGCCTAGAATGTGTTTCTATTGTTCTACCGCACAAAAGTTAGCACCCTAAGTTTCAATCCTACTCTAGCATGGTAATTCTAGGAATATAAAGACAAGAAATAAATTGCTCAAATGTAAATGCTCAAAGTAAAGAGAGAGAAAGAAACACGGTGATGTTTTGCCGAGGTATCGGAGAGTCGCCACTCCTCACTAGTCCTCGTTGGAGCACCGGTGTAAGGGTGTGGCTCTCTCTTGACCCGCGCAAGGATCAAGTGCTCTCTACGGGCTGATTCTTTGACACTCCATTGCGGTGAATCATCCACAACCGCTCACAACTTGAGTTGGGTCACCCACAAGCTCCGCCGGATGATCACTAAACTTTCAATCACCACCGAGCCGTCTAGGTGATGGTGATCACCAAGAGTAACAAGCACAAGCTCTCACTTAACCACGACAAGCCTAATGAGAAGGGTGGATGCACACTTGCTACTCTCCTTGCACTAATAAGGACCTTAATCTTGGATTCTCAAATCTCAATCACCTCACTAGGCTCTTGATCTCTCTTACACTCTCAAGGTGTTTCTCAGCTGAACAAATGGGCAAGAGACCTCCCTTGGACGAGTGGAGTAAGTATTTATACCTCATCATTTAAAACAAATCGTTGGGAGGCTGAGTCAGCACTCTGCGGGGTGACCGGACGCTTTGGTCAGGGTGACCGGATGCTCCAATCAGTTATCCCCGCCACTATGTCAGAAAGAGCCATTAAGTTCTAACCGGACTCTAACCTGCGTCCGGTCAGTACTGACCAGACACGTCCGGTCAAGAAAAACGCTCTCTGGAACCTTACTGATGTTGATCGGACGCTGGCACCCAGAGTCCGGTCACTTTGCTGTTCAGCGTCCGATCAGTGATCGGATCCTGACCAGCATCCGGTCAGCACCGACCGGACGTGTCCGGTCAAGAAAATCCCTCTCTAGAACCTCTCTGGAGTTGACCGAACATAGGCACCCAGCGTTTGGTCCACTTTCACTCAACGTTCGGTCAGTACCAGATGACTTCAGTTGATCAATGAACTGACCGGACTCACTCTCCTACGTCCGGTCACAACCAGACCAGCGTCCGGTCACTTATTTGACCCTCCATTCACTTCCAACTCAAAATCCTATGTGAATGAAGTTTTCTCCAATTGATCTTAGGGCTACTCCTGAGCTACCTAGTGCTAGATTTGACAAGTGTGCACCACACCTAACCTACTAGACTCACCTAGGTCAAGCTACTAGTCCATACCCCTCTTAATAGTATGGCCAAAGGAAAAACAAAGTCCTAAACTGCTCTAAGTGTCTCTTCAACACCAAATGACACTTAGAACTAGTCCGTCCTTAACCTTGTCATCCATCCTTTGAAAACCGAATCGATTTCCATCGACAGGGGCATGACAACCATGATTGCCCAATCAATTGTCATTACCATGACATAACTTAAATTGCCTCTGCAAAACACACGTTAGTCATAGTAATCTCATATTGTCATTAATCACTGAAACCCAACTAGGGGCCTAGATGCTTTCACTCAACGACGAGGCGTGGATGTCGGCGACGCGGAGTTCGCCGGCAACACGGGGTTCTCCGGTGGCAGCGCGCGCGGAGTTTGCCGGCAGCGCACGAGAGAGCCGGTGGGGTATGGCCGTGACATGCACGGGGCGGGTGGCTACGTGAATTTGAGATGGAGAGGAGATGCACAGGCTTCACGACATCCTTCATCTCCCTATTGCTTTGAATGGAGAGACAGAGAAGAGAGAGATGAGATGGAACCGGAGAGGATAAGTCTAAATGGCCACCTGACGGGAGTAACAAATATTTGTGTGGTGGAAAAAATACGTGGACTACGTGAGGCCATGTAGCGTCCAGCATCTGGACGGGACGAACACCCGTGGTGGAAACATTAGTTATTGCAGAGTTTTTTTATTAAATTTTACATTGTCTCTCTGAAGGGTTGAAAACCCCAGTTAAGTTTTGGCTAAAAAATCATGTAAGCAGCATGTACAAAAAAACCATGGTATCAAAAATCCCAATTCTGGTTGTAACAGCTCACAATACCTCAATACTTTTAAATTACAACCCAAACTATCGAATATATGACAATAGCTTCCAAAGAAAATACATAGCAATTTTTTTAGGGAAAAACATCAAAGCGTGATTAACATGTACCCCACAAACACAGATGCCCATGTATACAATCTTATATGCAAGTAGTATTGTTTAGATCGACAAAAGGAGGACTTGGAACTTGTGGGCAGGCATGTTGCTCTTTGGAAACTACCACAATGGAGATCGTTGTCTGTCATGGATGGAGATGTCTATTTTAACTTGTAAGCATCTTGATCTTCAAGAATTATGAGTTTACTTTTGCCGCAGGTGAAGGTATTCTAATAAAGAACTTACTAAAGCATCTCTCATGTAGTAGTAGATGGTGGAAACTTGAAAGAAAGCCATAAAAGCAACAAGTTGCATCCTTCTTATAATGCAACAAAAACGTGAGTTGAGAATGAGGACCTTCCTGTTTTGTTGTTCTAGCTGTCTTTGTTCTGTATGTTGCTTCCTTCTCTACTAATATATGCCCGGCAAATTCTTGTCAGTTCCTTTTCGAGTTAATAAAGAGAAAACAAGCACAGCAGAGGAGACAAGCAAACTGTCCAAAGGTAGTTTTGTATTGAAAGCACACAGATAAAAGTAGTTCAGAGTAATTGTTATTTGGAGTTTGATTCATTTGTCAAAATCAAACAAGTGAGCTTAAGTGATTGGATGGAGGTGTGGTCATGTACGTTTTTTTTATGAAAGTGTGGTCATGTACGTAACCACTCAAGTTCAGGCCCTCTCCAACTCAAATTTGGATGCACATTTTTTTCTTGATAAAAAACACATAGCTCCTCCTAGGTTGGTTACATATATTTTTTTTCATTCGCCAGAACCAAAATGAAAAAGATGAGGAAGACGGCAGGGACAACCCTCTACATCCTGCACAAGCCCTGCCTTCTCAAAGTACTCAATGCTGTCCGACAAAGTTTCATCCACTTTCCTTGGTTTCCAGCCTAAATTCTTAAGTTTCTCTGATGTAAATGGCGAAATTGCAGATTCATAGTCTTTGTTGTCGCTGCAGCAGATAGTTGCATATAATGTAAAAGAAGGGCTGAGAGCTAGACATTGAAGTCAAATAACAGGGACATAGTAAGAGATTCACCAGTTCACATAATTGTGGTTGGGGTAGGCCTTCTTAAACAAGTTCAGCATGTCGCTTGTGCTGATCCGATCTGGTGAGCAGATGTATCTACCAGATGATTCCACTTTCTCATATACCAGAAGCAAAGCATCAGCTACGTCACGGACATCAACTATGTTCCAGGTCAAGTTTTTCATCACCCTAGGTCCTCCTATAATCAAGCAAATGAAATGAGTAGTTTCAAGAAAACTGTTGTACCCGATCAAATTAGAGAAGAAACTCAGAAACTAATTTCAGCACTGAAGTTATCATTATAAAATTGGTTCCCTATGCTTGCAGCTAGGCATAAGGCAAGACTGAATATACAGATGGTTAGGGCTCTTCCCTTCAATGCCAATTCATCAAGTACATAAACTTTATTTGGGAATGAATTTTCAAAAGAGTAGCCTAGCTTTCACTACAACCAATCTACTGACTCTGGTCCCTTCTACAACCCATTAACCACATCAAGTTGGGAACTAGTTACTGAATGCTAGTAAGTTTCAGACAATCGAAGGCAAGAAAGTAACCATACGAGTAATCATCCAGTTAATCAATAATTGAAACTAGCAGGAATATATACAGGACACCTTTTATAATGTAGATGAGTAATTCACTCGAGGTATTGACCAGAGGCTGAAGGAGTGGACCTAAAACGAGACAAGGGCAAACTGTAACAACAGTTAGTCCATTCTTCTCTCCATACTCCAATGCTGTCTCTTCAGCAATTGTCTTGGCAGCATTGTACCAGTCCTGCAAGCACAACTTGGTTAGCCCTGCTTAGTCCTCCCTGGTAGTATTAATTAGCTATATGAATTGATAATAAATTGCAAAATTGATGGGTACTTCTGTCTAAAGAAAGTGAAATAGTATTTCTAACCTCATTCTTAATGCATAAATTTTTGTCTGACCAGCAACTCTCATCTTTGATTTTATCTTGGGGCCAACTAGGGTTAAAACGAACAGCAGCTGTGGATGAAACCACGATAGCTTTCTGAACATTGTTCGCCGAGCAAGCCTGAAGGACATTCAAAGTGCCTTTGACAGCAGGAGCCAATACCTCTGACTGCATGGTTTTTCTCAAGATATGTTTAATAAGGAGTATAAAAGCTTTTATGCAACTATATTAGGCAATAAATCTCAATAGGACAAACGGAAATTAAATGCATCTTGATCCATTCCCTTGCACGGTTCAGAACCAAAGCGAATCAGTGGTGTCAATCCAAAGAGACTGGTCCGAAACTTGCCTCGGGATCATGGACCTTGTCCGCGGGAACAGGGGAGGCGACGTGGAAGACACCCTCGCACCCGGCGACCGCGGCCGCCAGGGCGTCGCGATCGAGCATGTCGGCAGTGAACAGGAGCAACCTCTCCGGGGCCCCGTCCAGCAGCTGCAGGTGGGCGTTCTTGGGATCACCTGAGGAAGCAGAGAGCCAGACGTCATGCATGAGTCCCCAGTTCCCAACGCGTCGATCGATCAAGACGAACAGCGCATGCGCAGGGGGCGCGTGCTTACTTGGGTCGCGGACAGTGGTGTGCACGGCGTAGCCGCGGGAGAGGAGGAGCTTAACGAGCCATGAGGCAACATACCCGCCGCCCCCGGTAACGCACACGCGCGGTGGCGGCGGCGGCGGCGACGCCATCCCACTCCACTACAGCCTACAGGGCCTCACTGCTTCCTCCTCCGGACCTCCTCTCCGTCCGTATATCTGCGCCACGGCTTTCGCTTGCGAGTTGCCATTTGCTTGTCCCAACCCAGCACCAAAATACAAGACGCAAATCGACGAGAAAAACACGCCGAATGAACCGGCCGGGAAGGAGACAAACGCGCGGGGAACCTCTTCTGCGAGATTGAGGCCCTGTTCGCGGTTAGTCTGGATTCCACGGGAATCAATCCAGATGATCAAAATTAAACTTATATAAAATTAAAGTGAAATTTTAGCATGCTTTGCTTAGAAATAATGGGCTGAGAAACAGAGGAACCGGATGAAAACAACTAGTTGCGGGCTGAAACTTAAAAAAATATACGGACCAGAACTGGTTTATAATTAAATTTAGAGGGTATAACAGTATTTTTACTATCCCAGCAGCTACTCCTCGTCTCTTGTCCTCTTGACGCGCCGCGCCAGGGGGCCCCTTGCAGTCGTCGTGGGCAGGCTCTGATGCGGGTGCTCTGTGGACGCGTGGACTCAGACAGCCGGGCCTGCAGCTCCCAGCGGAGGCACCTACGGAGGGCACTCACAACGGAGGCACCGCCGGCAGCTTCGTCTCTGCGGGTGCGGCCACCGCGTCCTCTACGTTGCGCACGCGCTCTCCTGCAGCCAGCGCGGCCGCGCCATCGTCCGCCTGTGGAACGTTAATCTAGACGCCATGTTCCCGCGCAGCGGCCGTCAGTTCCCGAAGCGGCGGCGGCGGCACTATGGGAGGATCGTCCTCGTGCTCGACGAGGCGGTCGCTGCGGCGCCGAGCGCGGATGTACTCCGGTCGTACGACGGACACTATCCGGATGACGAGACTCACGTCGTCGGTGTCGTCCGCCTAAGCGCGCCACGGGCGACCAACGCCGGGATACATCCAGCTCGTCTTCCTATTCGCTCTCCTTTACTTCCATATTATTTAGGCCTCGTGGGTTTCGCTTAAAAACAAATCAAAATCGTTTCGGGCTGTGAGAGAAAATCTTAAAAATAAGTTAAAAAATATGAATTATAAAAGAAGCGGACGTGACTTTATCGTCGTCTCGTTCGTTCTCCTTTGCTGTCTCGATATCCTCGCCGTGGCCAAGGCTGGTTCCGTCGTCGCGTCTCGCTTTGACGTCCTCACGATGACCGCCGCCGCAGCCGCAGCCGTGCGTGGCGACGGCCGCCTGCGTCACGACGCATCCTCCGCCTGTGCCGGCGGCGTCGGGCACGACGAGAAGAGACCGGAGGCCAGAGATCAGGGAGGCGGCGACCCAGCGACCTGGCAGGCGGCGACGCAGGGAGCGAGATCTCGCGAAGTATGGAGGCTTGTGGAATTGGGATAGAGAGTCAGAATTCTGTACGGTAGGAAAGGAAAAAGTACTAAACTACCCTTAATTACAATGAATTAATTTTATTAATTAACACATGCGGTAAATGATTTTAATGGCGGTGGTTCCTCCCAACCACCGTAACAAAGTAAAAAAAAAAACTCGATTCGTGGTGGCTACACAGCTCCTAGTATTCCGGCTTAAGAAAAAGATCTTCGCAGATCGAGAAAACTCCCGAACCTCTGTCCCACCCATACACGGTGGCACCACAGCTCCGTGAGATGAGCTGATCACAGACCTGTGAACGTGAGGCAGATGAGGAAGTTTTTTTTACCTTGCTCGGAAAAAATCCCCGAAAACAACGCGCGGGTGCGTCACACCTGGAGCTCGAACCCACACCGCGAGAGTGCTACTGAGAGCGCTAAGCCAGCCGACCTAGTGTCCATTCACAAACTTATATAAAATTATGCAAGCAAACCGGATATGAATAGTTCCATGCCACAATACTCCTTTTTTTAATCTTCAATAAAGACTTACAAGGCATCATGGGCGATTAAACTAAGCTAATGTTCCATTGAATATGGTTTTGGAGCAGTAGCAGCTTTGTCCACTGTCCGACCTGCCGCCATTGATGTTGTCCATGAGTCCATCATTTTGGGCGAACTCCAGCAACGCATGACAACGGTCAACGGTTGTCATGCGTCCCACCCGCATACCAGGACAGGCTTGGGATCCAATTCCTCTCAGCACTGGGTATTTGGATGTTTGTATTGCGGTAGGATTGATTAAATGGTAGTTTCAAAAAAAAAAAAGGATTGATTAAATGGTACTAGCCGATTAGAGTCCTCAAACCAAACAAAAAGAGTCGATGTACACGCGTAGCCATAAGTGTGTTGCGGTCAAGCACCTCCATCTTCGCTGTTAGTGCGTCGTGGTCAAACACGTCGACTTTCAACGGTGGCACATTCTCCGGGCCGGGGTCCTGTCCCAGCCATCGGCTTCAACAGGATGGGCATTTCTTTGGCGTCACTTGAGGCGGTGCACGGATGGAACCCCTGCCTACGCGCTGTCCGGGGCCACGACCACGAGGCACGAGCATCCCATTCTCCCCGATCTGATAGAATGCATCCTCATTATTTCAAGGCATGTTCACAGTTCAGCAACGTTCCAAGGCCATGAGTGACACCCACAAGCTCATAACGAAAAAGCACCGCCAAGGCACCAACGCACTCGATTCGTCACTGATCACATGCCAGACGGAAGAGATGGGGAAGGCGGCAAGGATGCCCGTCCACACCCCGGAGAAGCCCTGCCTTTTCATAGCACTCAACGCTGTCCGAGAGCGTCTCCTCCAGTTTCCTTGGTTCCCAGCCCAGGTCCAGCAGCTTCTGACATGTTAACGATGCTTTCTGATCGACATCGAGGATGCTGAAAACGCAAAAGAGAGTGGTTCAGCAGGTCGCGTAAAGAAGCAATGCACGTTTCAAAGTTGTGCCATGGCAAACCTACTTATTTACGTAGCTGTACTCTGGGTACATCTTCTTCAGCAAGGCCACCAAATCCTTTGTGCAGATGTGATTCGGCGAGCAGATGTATCTCCCTGACGACTCTTTCTTCTCGTACAGCAGAAGTAAAGCATCCGCCACGTCACGGACGTCTACTACGTGCCACAGTCTGTTGTTCATCACATCAGGACCTCCTGTAATCCAACCAATGGAGTTATTGTAGCGAGAAAGCAACATATACCCAGTAGTAGCATTTGCAGTGTGCAACGGATATACATGCAAGAGAAATAGCAGTTCTTCAAGGACTACTTATTTCCAGAAAACATCATTAATGCACTGAACACGCGAATGAAATGTGGCCCTTCTTGTAGATGCAATAATTCTAGCATGGCATATGCTATACATTATTTTGTCGTTTGTATTCATTTTAGCGTGTAATATCAAGCAATAAATGAGCCAAATGGGGAATCACATGCAATAGATTGTGAAGAATCTGCTTGTGGATGAAGGTTTTGATTAAACAGCTGTAGAGCATTTAGAAAAAGCATGGCAGCTAATATTTCTGAAATGAAGGGCACACATGGGACAGAAAAGACAACTGGTAATCAACAGATTCTAGATGATGATCAGTACCATGATATTTGAACATTGCCATCATTTCTATTTGAAAAAAAAACAAGTCCCGCAACAGTAACTATTAATGTGATCTAATCTCAGGGCCTTAGATTGGACCTCATAAATGCAGTCCAGAAAGAATGGATGGATAGGTACAATTCACATTTAAACACAACTTGACTGGTGGTCAGGAGCACATCATCGTAGTGAGCCAGAACAGAAAATTCATCAAATAAATGATAATCCTAGTAGCAGATGAGAAGGATTGTGAGAACATTAGGGAACCTTTTATAACATATATGAGGAATTTGCTACTGGTATTCACCGTAGGCTGCAACAGTGGGCCAAAAACCAAAGGCGGGCAAAGTGTAACAACATTCAGGCCATTTTCAACCACATATTCCAAAGCTATCTGTTCTGCAGTAATCTTGGTGACGGCATACCAGTCCTGCCACCAAAAAGCAGAGAAGGTTCCAATATAGTCCTCCCTCAGTAAGCCATCTCTAGAAAAGACTAGCTTATGTTAAGAAAAATCACAATACGCCTTTCAAGGTAGATATGACTGGAATGGATCAACAAATGGAGTAAACCTGTATGCTTATTGCTATCACAAAGCTTGATGTACTAAGTACTAAATAGTATTACTAACCCCATTTTCCTTGCAGAACTCCTTGTCTGACCAGCAACTCTCATCTTTCATTATATCCTGAGGCCAATTCAGGTTAAAATCCACAGCAGCGTTGGAGGACATCACAACAAGTTTGTGAACCTTTGCAGCGGAGCATATCTTCAGTACATTTAAGGTACCTTTCAAAGCAGTATCAAGTACTTCTGACTGCATTGATGCGTTCAGAACGTGGTGAGTACAGAGCACAAGTATTCTGTAAACCACAAAACTTTCAGCAAGATTCACAGTGCGAACAAACAATAAACACAAGAAACTTGCTCAGGATGAAGGGATACAACATCAAGACCAAAAAAACTTGCTTTCACCTTTACTTGGAGTGAAATTTTATTGTCAGGTGTTGGCAGTACTTAGGCATCAGAATTCACATGGGATACAAAGTTGAGGAAGTGACATGTCAACAGCATGATAGATAAAGGGTAAAGAGAATTATAACAAGCTTTCTTCATGGAAATATTTACAATTGCGACAAGGAAGATCTGGAAACAACAGAATGGTCACATTCTTCTTCTTTTTTTGGTTGGGGGGGTTCACTTCTTTTGGGACAAAAAAGGACTCGGAAATGAACTTCTTCTACAAGCTCAGATTCAGAAAGACAGTCAGTCTAGCTTTAGGTGGCTACAGTTCTGAAGAATAAGCCTCTTAGTTCCACTTGTTCTTTTTCTCCTTGTTTTCCTATGCACAGCATTTTTGTTTTTCTTCCTAGACTGGTCTACCTAGCTGTTTTCCTTCCCCTCAAAGAAAAAAGAAAATATTGTGCTAATATTCTCCAGGTGCTAGTGTTAAAAGCATGCGTCACAAAACAGCTTGGTTTTGCAAGAATGAATGACTTCCAAGGATGAAATCCACTTACACACTTCCTTCAATTCTTCAACAGTTAGAGCATACTGTATGTGGGCACAAAGGACAAAACATTGGGCAGGCTGGAAATGCAATAATTGAGAAGTGATATTATCTTACTAGAAAAAAACACACTGATCCAAATGCCAATTCATAATACTATCAATACAAGCTTAATTTCTGTACTCCATAAATCTGTGTAGATACAGTACTACATAATCTGATGATAAGCATTGGTGTCAAGCAAACAAGGACTTGCCTCAGGATCAACAACCTTATCTTCAGGCACCGGAGTGGCGAGATGGAAGATCCCCTCACATCCCTCAACTGCAGGTGTTAGCGTGTAGTAGTCTAGCACGTCGGCCTTGAACAGATGCAGATTCTCTGGGGCCTTCTCCAGCTCCTTCAAATGGGCATTCTTTGGATCACCTGAAAGAGCATCCGCAGTTAATTAGCAGAGTCTGGCTCCTAGCACCACCAATGAGGCATTTGGATATCACACGCTTCTCAGTACCAAATCCAATTATTCTCTACGTTATCAGATAAATAACAAATGCGATTGCAAAGAACGTCTTTGCACAGGAATCCAAATCAACTGCAAGGTAAGTAGCAGTTTTGTCAGACTGTCAGTGGAATAGACAGGTTAGCGTACTTGGGTCGCGGAGGGTGGCGTGGACGGCGTAGCCGCGGGAGAGGAGCAGCTTGACGAGCCAGGAGGCGATGAACCCGCCGCCTCCGGTCACGCACACAAGCCGCTGCGGCGCCATTCCTCTCCCCCCTCCACTGCTCTACCACCGCTCACCGATTTCAGAGCGAGAACCTCGCAACTTGACATCGCCGGGATTGTATATGACTGCTGCAGTTAACTAAGCTCGAATCGGCAGATCGATGGGGCCTCGAACGCACAGATCGATTAAACAACACGCCGAATAAATCAATTTGGCCCATCAAGACAAGTGCAGAAGGGAACAAAATCACGTGGAGCAGACTCAGCAGAGGAGCACCCAGCAGAGTCGCGGTCACCAACCTCTGCAGCCATGAGGCATCCGTTATCGGCGATTCATGAACTCCCGGGTAGCGATTGACGTCTCCGTCGGACACTCCCGCAGCGCGGCCGCCGATAGGCGCCGCCGCAGCGGGATGGCATGCCTGGTAGGAAATCCACCAGGACCGCAGGAGACGTTCTCAGTTTCTCACGTTCATGCCGCAGGAAAAAGAAACGGTAGCGCTGTATTGGGCTTAGTTGGGCCTGGTGGGTTCATAGGAGCCAATAGTTGGGTTCACACACGATCTATCGGCCCAACAGAGCCCAGGCCATGAATATTTCCTGCCCCCATGTACGACTGGGAGTTTTTTTCTTCTACTATAAGTAGAACACATGTGCCTTTCAAAAAAAAAGTAGATGCAAACACTCGTAAACACTAAAAAAAAAATATGAACATCCATGTCAAATTGAGAACTTAAACCCGAGTAGACAGATTCCACCGTAAGAAACCCAACCAGCTGAGATATGCTCAGTTCGCAGAACATGTAGACATTTATATACATGCATACGTAGTCGTCTAACTAGATTGCACCGATAGATCTTGGGATTAACAAAGTCGCTATAAATGTCTTGCTATTGAGGTAACCTACTACCAAAAGAATAGTGTCGTTAAAATTTTTAATAAATCCGAAAAAGTACAAGTACCCAAGTTAAGATTGCATTTTGCAATGAGAAACTTTTCAGATTCTTAGTAGAACCATTAGAGCATGTTTTGCACAGCTCAGCTTCACTATTAAAGCTGTTTTTTTAAAACAAACTCATGAACAACTTTCTAGGTGAAGCTGAGCTGTTTTGGGAAAACGGTTTGGTAAAACACCTTCACCAACAAGTTCATGCATGGATGAGGGAGAGAAATGAGGGAGAGAGCTGTGATAAGCTACTTTTTTTAGTTTCATCCCAACTCATGTCTTTGTGAGTGGGGGAGAAAAATAACTTTATAAGTGAAGCTGTTTTAGAATTGAGTGTTTGGCAACTAAAACAGCTCACAACAGCTCATGAAGCTGTTGTGAGTTGTGCCAAACATGCCCTTAGAATTGTCGCCAAACGCCACAAAGAGAAAAATGTTTCAAAGAGTTTAGAATCGACCCTCATTTTCGTACTAGTCTAGAGAAACAACTAAAACCTAGCTTCTTCTAATTCTACTTTTTAAGAATACAGCGAGTTAGGCAAATGGTTTCACAAAATGATTCTGATTCAGCAGAGAAATGTTTATGGAGAGGATCTAGATCTAAAGTATTTTTAGAAAATCTGAATATCTACCCACGCCCTATTTATGTCAGGTTCCACAGTAAGAAATGAGATAGATCATGGAATAAATCTACAAAAATACACCCACTCTAAGTATAGGTTCTACTAATGAGTACTAAAATGAACCTAACTAATTGAGTTTCATATGCTAGAATAGTTATACCCATCGAAAATTAGTCCCCCACCAAAGTTATTAGGAAAAAAATTATTTGGGACAATCATATCGTTACCTCGTCGATTATAGCGGCTCAGAGCAACTCCAACAGAGTTGGTAAAAATAGAGAGCTAAACTCATGATTTAGCCAACCTCTAAAATAGAAACCCCAGCCAAAAAACTGAAAACTCCAACAACCTTTTTAATAAGGTGAGGCGAATGGCTAGCGGCACATGCAAGCTATATCTAGCATGTGATAATTTCGAGATACATGACTTGCTATTTTAGAAAGTAAAATATAATAGCCGTTGGACTCTCTTTTTTTTGAAATAATCAAACAGTTGAAGTCGCGTAACATTGCCTCCGCAAGACTATATATATACGACATCGAGTTACATGTATTATGCTGGCTGCCCGGCCTGCCCAACCAGACAACCAACGAGACGAACGCATGGCTATACGAGTCAGCTCGTGTTTATCCTCCGACGAGATTACACGTCAGATACAGTTAGACACCCCAGCCCCCACAATAGTTATAATCGAGTTGATGATGGCTTGATCCATCGATGCGCATGTCCGCATGTCCAGCAAGCAAGATACGGTAACATTATTATTGTTGCATTCTTCTGCGCGCTAATATGCCTGCCGAACTACTTTACTGTTACTAGACAACAACGTATATTTTGGCTTGATCGCACACCGTCACCGAACGCATGCAGCAGGAACAGTGTATCTTGCGGCTTGTGCGTGCAGGACGGACGAAGCGCTGTCTTTTATTTTGCCCTTGAGTCCTTTTTTTTTAAATTATACAGAACAACGTAGACGCTCACAACACGTATACACATTCACCTCTGTAAACATGCGTACGTAAACTTTACCTCTATGGGCGCCTTGGGAGCACTGAGCCAGCATTCACCCTTTGGATTGCATGAGCACAAAGGTACGTGTCTCTCTCTTGATCTCTACGGCGTAGTTGTCTAACTGCACTGTATGGATAGATCTTGAGATTAACAAAGTCACTATAAATATCTTGCTATTGACAAACAGGTAACCTACTATCAAAAGAATAGTGTCGTTAAATTTTTTAATAAATCCAAAAAAGTACAAGTACCAAAGTTAAGATTGTGTTTTGCAACCAGAAACTGTTTAGATTCTTAGTAGAATCATTAGGGCCTATTTGACACAGCTCAGCTTCACTAGTAAAGCTATTTTTTTAAAACAGTTTCATGAGCAACTTTTTAGGTGAAGCTGAGCTGTTTTAGAAAAACTGTTTGGCAAAATAACTTCACCAACAAGTTTATGCATGGATGGGAGAGAGAAACGAGAGAGAGAGCTGGGATAAGCTACTTTTTTTTAGCTTCATCCCAACTCATGTCTTTATGTGTGAGGGAGATAAAGGCCCCGTTCGGATGGTATAGTTCTGGAGAAATTTGGATGGTTTAAAGGAATTCTGGAGTAATCTGTTCCGGATGAAAAAAGAAGCGGATCAAGCCGGGTTTAAGGGCACGCGAACGGGGCCAAACAGCCTTATGAGTGAAGCTGTTTTAGAAATAAGTGTTTGACAAATAAAACAGCTCATAACAACTCATGAAGCTGTTGTGAGCTGTGCCAAACAGTCCCTTAGAATTGTCGCCAAACGGCACAAAGAGAAAAAAATGTTTCAAAGAGTTTAGAATCGACTCTCATTTTCGTACTAGTATAGAGAAACAACCAAAACCTAGTTTCTCCTAATTCTACTTTTTAAGAATATAGCGAGCTAGGCAAATGGTTTCACAAAGTGATTCTGATTCAGCAGAAAAACATTTATGGAGAGGATCTAGATCTAAAATATTTTTAGAAAATCTGAATATCTACCCACGCCCTATATATATCAGGTTCCACAATAAGAAGCGAGATAAATCATGGAATAAATCTAAAAAATACACCGACTCTAAGTATAGGTTCTACTAATAAGTATTAAAATGAAATGAACCTAACTAATGAGTTTCATACGCTAGAATAGTTATACCCATCGAAAATTAGTCCCCCGCCAAAGTTATTAGGAAAGAAAAATTATTTGGGACGATCATATCGTTACCTCGTCGATTATAGCGGCTCAGAGCAACTCCAACAAAGTTGATAAAAATAGAGAGCTAAACTCATGATTAGCCAACCTCTAAAATAGAAACCCCAGCCAAAAAATAGAAAACTCCAACAGTCTTTTCAATAGGGTGAGGCGAATGGCTAACGGCACATGCAGGCTATATCTAGCATGTGATAGTTTCGGGATACATGACTTGCTATTTTAGAAAGTAAGATACAATAGCTGTTGGATTTTCTCTTTTTTCTAAAATAATTAAATATAGATTACACGCATGGATGGCTCTTCAGTTGAAGTGGCGTAACATTGCCTCCGCAAGACTATATATATATACGACATCGAGTTACATGTATTATGCTGGCTGCCCGGCCTGCCCAACCAGGCAACCAACGAGACGAACGCATGGCTATACGAGTCAGCTCGTGTTTATCCTCCGACGAGATTGCACGTCAGATACAGTTAGACACCCCGGCCCCCACAATAGTTATAATCGAGTTGATGATGGCTTGATCCATCGATGCGCATGTCCGCATGTCCAGCAAGCAAGATACGGTAACATTATTATTGTTGCATGCTTCTGCGCGCTAATATGCCTGCCGAACTGCTTTACTGTTACTAGACAACAACGTATATTTTGGCTTGATCGCACACCGTCACCGAACGCATGCAGCAGGAACAGCGTATCTCGCGGCTTGTGCGTGCAGGACGGACGAAGCGCTGTCTTTTGTGCGGGGTGTTTTGATCCGACGACTAAAATTTAGAAGTTATCATATGAAGATATTGTATGGGATATTTAGATACTAATAAAAAAATAAATTACATAATCCGTCAGTACTTCACGAGACGGATTTATTAAGCCTAATTAAGCTGTCATTAGCATATGATTACTGTAGCACTACATTGTCAAATCATTGACTAATTAGGTTTAAAAGATTCGTCTCGCAAATTAGTCGCAAACTGTGCAATTAGTTTCATAATTAGTCTATATTTAATATTTAATGCATGTGTCCAAATATCCGATGGGACAACGACTAAAGTTTAGGAGGAGGAACCAAACACCCCTTATACGGAACAACATAGACGCTCACAATACGTACGCAAACTCACCTCTATAAACTCGCTTACGCAAACTTTACCTCTATCAGCGCCTTGGGAGCACTGAGCCGGCATTCACCCTTTGGATTGCATGGGCACGAAGGTACGTGTCTCTCTCTTGATCTCTACGGCGTGTTTGTTGGGC